CATATGTAGTAACAAAGCAAGAAAACCTCGAACAAGTGGGAAAAGTACATCAAGTATATCATACCCTGGCTTCAACCCCATCCCACAACAACATGGGTAGGAGTATGAGGGGCATTAGAGTGACAACAGAAGTAGACCTTAGAAACCTAAATCAGTTTATAAGTTTAAAGTATTAACAGATGTTTTATAATTTTAGATTTCTACTGTTCCGAGAATGGGCATGTTTTTGCTTTTGGTTAATCAATGATGGAGGGAAAAGGATAAGCTGCAGGGCTGAATTAGTTATGTATGATATTCTGTTGTAGGGATGTTGCAAGTAGGTGAGAAGTGGGGGTACTGAGTCAGAGGGGGCTAGTGATAATGTTCCTAAACCTGGGAGGAAACTTATCCATGACAGCACAAACATAATGCACATCTGCCTAGCTGCAGGGTTGAGCTCTGCTGCCTTGTGAATGACATTTCATATTAGTGCTTTTTAACTGAAATTGCAATAAAGAGAAATCGTAGCTTTGTGCATTGCTATTACTAAATGGCTGATACGGAAATACTGTAGGTAATCAACTCAGCTGGACATAATGGAACGCTTTATTATATGATCGCTCTTTTGGTTTTATTGAGTTTTTGGACACAAATGCTGTTTTAAGTACTTGGCTACCCCGAGGATCTTTTTCTCCCCCCATTATAACCAAATATATCGTTTCTGTTATTCCCTGGCAGCTATCAAACTGTGAAGGAAGATTCATCTTCGCTGTTGACATGTTTGTGAATGGCAAATGCATCATAAGTACTGCAATACTCTTACAGGAGTGAATTTCTCTTCCTAGGGGTAGATTTCCTCTCACTTCCTGTTGTCACAAGGGCAGGAAGTGAGATTAAATCTTTCTAATGAGGATACAGACAGCAGTAAAAACTTCACAGTGACCCGGGAGAAGAGACGGGCACCCCTCGTCTGTACGTCTAACAAGAGCCAACTTCCTGTATTGTACGTACAGTACTACGAACCAGACCAAAAAAGGCGGGCACTCCTCGTCGGCACAAGCGCGGTAGCATTACAACTACTTGAACACTGCGCTGTACACTTTGGCTGCAGCCTGGGACCCCCTGCTGTACAGTAATAGCCTCTGTTTGTAAGTAGGAGTCGTATGTAAGTCAGATGTTTGTAACTCGGGGACTGCCTGTACATGCCACATAAACATTTCACATATAGACTGACTCATGTGACCTGCAGAAAACATGTCAAAATAGTTTTTGGGCTTTGAATTGATGATGCTACAAAAAACCCCTCTAAGTAAGGACAATGTCTTCATTTTGCATTTGATAAACTCTACCTGCTTAGCAGCTCTGATTTCAATACTGACATCATCTTATTGATTTGTCTGCTGAACGTCTTGCCCTGCTAATTAAATTCCCCGCATTTATATCCTTCTCTTCTGAATAGTTTTAAATATGTGACTTTTAAATTTCAAGTGAATTTTTAAGATCACTGTGTTAATGAGCCCACTGCAGCATCATTCAGACACACAAACTGGAGCATGGGTGGTTGCACAGAATCATGTAATGAGACATTGCAGTCCTTCCTTTGAAGCCCTATGGAAAGCTTACTAAATGTATCTGCATTTGTATTTATGGAACTGAACCTAAAACTAAACAGCAGGAAAGCAGCTTAAAACACAGTTCAGACAGTCTTGTGATCCCAATATCCCTGGGAGTAGCATATAATAGTCAAAAACACATTCCATATATTGATTGGACAGTGCACATACTAATGAGTCATCATCACTCCAGTCAGCATGTTCACTCTCAGCACATGTGCATTGCAGCAGAGCCTGATTGTCTCCTGGTCTTCCCTCCCCAAGGAAATTCAGGTTGTCACTTTAGTTACATTTAAAGCTTGTCAATAGGTACATAAGAACATTCGTTGTTTTTCCTCTATTTACATGCCAGGTGTTGAGCTTTAGGCCTCATTCACACGGGTAACAGCCGGCCCGTACGGATCCGAGCTGCGTGCACGGCCGTATCGGGCAGCTCCTGGGAAGAAGGCCTGAAGCCTGTCTTTCTCTATGGGAGTACGCGGCTGTACGCCCCCCTACGGTCACCCGACCTGCATGTCTGTACAGGTGCAGATGTACCTGCTCGAACGCAGACAGGATCCATCCTGTCAGCGTACGAGTACGGACAGCCGCACCCGCACGGGCGTGCAGGTCGGGTGACCGTAGGGGGGCGTACAGCCGCGTACTCCCATAGAGAAGGACAGACTGCTGCATATAATCAGCATTGTCAGCCTGCCCTGCAAACTCCTTCAGTTGACCATTAGGTTGACTATTGGGTCTACAGGGACCCCAACCTGAAAAGTCATTTGAGGGAGGTGTCCTTCTCATTACAGGGAGGTGCCCTCTGTCGCCCCCCCCCCCCCCCAGGAGAGCACCCCCCTGAAATGGTGGCAGATAGCAAAGAGTTAAATGCTTTCCTTGCTATCTGCTGTTTTTTTTTGTTTTTTTTTTAGTATTCTGACATCTGCTGCCATCAGAATTAAAAACACAAACAAACAACAACAACAAAAACAGCATAGGAATGAATAGCTAGATTGCTATTGGCTATTTCAATTTGCAATAACCAATAGCAAGCTGGCTATTGCACCCGCCCTCTGCTGCTGTCAATCAGCAGAGGAGGACCTGATGGAGAACTTCAGGTCCACCTCTGTGGATTGACAGCAGCAGTGGGCAGGTGCAATAGCTAGTCTGCTATTGGCTATTGCAAATTGAAATAGCCAATAGCAATCTAGCTATTCATTCCTACGCTGTTTTTTTTTCTCTGATTGTGGACGGTCGGCGGCCCCGATGTCAGAAAAAAAACAAAACAAAACAGATCACAGGGAAAGATTTACTCTGTCCGGGTGCCGCTATCTAATAGCGGGAGACTCCTGGAACATCCGGGAGAGTTGAGATGTCTTGGTCTATCAGTTAGGTAGCACAACAGCCAACTGAAGGAGTTCGCTCACAGGCTTGCAAAGCTTTTGCTAATTGCAAGACTGTGGCTTTGTGTTGTCAGCTTGCAGCAGAAAGTGCTGTTTAACTTTGCTTTGTGATCTAATTTATTTTGTGAATGTAATGATACATGATGTAAGTTCTTCCTATTCAGTACACTGATGCCATGCTGCTAACACAACATCAATATTTAAAGAGGATTCTGTAGAGTGATGGCCTGCTTGTTTTTAAAATCCCTCTCTTACAAGTCAATGGATTGGAGTAATGAAAAATGCATATTTTTATAGCTGCTTCCCATCCAAGATAAAAGGTACAGATGCTAGTGAGATGGCAGAATTGTATGGAAAGATATTCCCTCCTAGCCAGAACCATCAAAATTAAATTATTTTAAGCCCTGGGGTCGGTAGTTAAGGTGAACTCATTCAGTTTAAATATCAGATCTGTTATGATGGAGTATCGGTGGATTAAATGTACCCATCTGCAAATTCTGGAATCAGGAAAGACGAGCACAGCCCTGTTTTCAAAGGGTTGTAGCAATTTCCCACATTTGGGATAATTTGGTTCAACTTGAAAACCTAAAATGCTTTCACAGTAATGCACATTGCACACTAAAGTAAATTAAGTAAACCACTCATGACAGGACCATAGAGGATGGCAATGTTGACGTCTTTTTGAAAATAGTTGCCTGGTAACCACAATGTACCAAACTGAATAGAGTCTTAAAGTATATGTGTGGGCAAACATGAAAAAACAATAATATTCAGTACATCTCTGCAATACATGTACATTTCCCCTTGTTTATCCCTTTAAGAATGCCACAACTGCAGAAAATTGATCTGCCTGATATCAAGTGTGGTCCTGATTGAGGTGACATCACAGTGCCTCTGTTGCATTGAAATCTCAAGCAGCGTGGTCAGCTCTGCCCGTTTCTCCTTCTCTGGCATACAGAACATCTGCCTCTCTCCTCATTTCTATAACATAAGGAGGGGTGTAAGGTTGTCCAGCATAGGATAACTAAGCAGGGCTGGTAACACTGCTTGGTATTTCTGGCAGAGGTATCTGCTGAAAACGAGAAGCTAGGCACCCAGTGGAGTTCTAGCAGGATCAATGGGTATTTTCTGTACTTAGAGGGTTTTTTTTAGAGATAAAACATGGAAAAATGTGCATTTGTTTCAGAATTATACTGAATCTAGATTTGTTGTATTATGCCCAGACATGCACTTTAAGCCTCCCCTTCAGTAAACGGGGGAACCTTTTGCACTAAATGAACAATAGGGAGGCTCAGGCGGAGAGATAGGCAGGACAGCTGGGCCTATATACTGTACAAAGCTCAACCATTACAGACAATGATGAGATTTGCATATAAGCTCAGCTGTCTCCAGAACAAAAATATATAGCTGGCCTTTTATTTGGTTTGAGCTTTCTTTGTTACAATTGCCAGATGAAGCTCGTGTTCCCTGGCTACTTAAAGTGGAACTAGACCCACCAGTTTAATATCTCCCAAAACATTTATTTTTAAAGCATGCCAACTGTCAAGGTTGGCAGTTTATTTCAGCTCTCAACCAAACTTTCAAGCCCTCAAATGGCTGGTGTCATAGCTGATCACATGAGCAGCACCATTTGCAATCCAAATTGAGGCCAAGATGGCACCTTCCTTGTCTGTAAGGAATAGGAGGTTGTAGTTCCAATTTTAAATAGGTTTGTCGGCTCGTGGATTGGACTGACTGACCTCTGAGTGCTATGAATTTGGCTACCCCTCTGCGGGCAATTTAAAGGCATATAGGCTTCTAAGACGTAGAAAACACTCAAAAACATTGTAAACTAATTTTTGACACATTGACTATTTTGCATCTAAAGTGTTTACATTTCTCTCTCTCGCCTTCTTTTATCTAATTCCTTTTCTCTATATAGTACATAATGTAAAAAAAAAATATATATATTATATATTTAATATTTTTTGCTATATGCTAAGAGTTTTCCTTAATTTTTTCTGTTATTTGCATCTTGTGATTTTAGATTATGTAACCTCCAAGAAGTTTTCATTGGACGACGAGGAATCGTTTTACACATCCCTGAAATCGGATGAACGTTATGTGTCCCATCCAGACTCCTACTTTACTGGGATTTTGAAGAAGGGAGATGGCGGTAAAAGTTTAGATGCAGAGCAACTTGGATCTGGCTCCCGTTCTCCTCAAGATACACCCATGTTTGAGGGTCGTGGCTTGCTCAGTTCAGATTCGGGAATTGAGATGACACCTGCAGAAAGCAAGGATGTGATCAAAACCATATCAGGCCCTTCGGAGGGTGACAAATTAGAAGCTTGCAAGTACATCGATATCAGCAGGTCTCCAGATATAAAACCTCAGCGTTCTCCTGAAGAGGTCTACGACAGAAAGTCAAGCCCAATAGGTTATGACTATGCTGCTAAGGCCAAAGAGGGTGAAAGTTTTTCATATTTACCATATATGGAGGAACCAGATGATAACGTTGGCTTATATAGCCACACAGCAATTGTAAATACTAAGACCTCCCCTGTGAGAATTACACTTACTGGGACAGAATCATCAATAGAATGTGACTTTTTTGAAAACAGTATTCAGGGTGTATCAGAACTAGGCCTAAAACCAGGTGGGGACTCCGTTCCAACAGTAACAGTATCAGAACCAGAAGATGACAGCCCTGAGTCCTTGACACCCCCTTCTTATCATGGAGGTAAATGATTATGTCAAACCTGAAGTATTACTTATAAAAAACTTTTTTTTAGCAAAGTAGTAACATAAACATGAGATGTATTTTCATAATGTAAATTTTTTGGTGGTATGTTTTGGGGCTCTACATAGTATTGTTTACTTTTAGATTTTAGGTCTGCTTTAAGGCCTCATTCACACTGCTAAAAGCCGGCGTGTACAGATCCGTGCGGCGTGCACGGCCGCTCCCAGGAAGAACAGGTGCTGCATGTCATTGTACGCAGCAGCATGTTCTTCACTATGGGAGTACGCCTCCTTACGCCGCCGTATGCTCACCCAAACTGCACAGTGTGAATGAGGCCGAAACCTGAAGTTTAATCTGTTTATATTTTCCTTCCCTAGTTCTTCTCTCCATCAAATTGTTACCAAGTTGTATTGCGTAACAGTAGTAAAGAAAAATCAGGTCACCAACCTGACTGTGCTGAGTGACCGGGTTATGGTAATCTCAGAATGGGATGGGCACAGATATAAATCCTTTCTATATATTTAGCTGTTTACCTGGGGTTTAAGTGTAAAGTGTATGTAAAACACAACATTTTTAATTTGCTCCTTTTTGATATGTTTAGCATGTTGGAAATACAACATATGCTAATGTAATATTCTCTTTTGAGCACTAGAGGGTGCTGTAGTGCAAGTCTAGTGTATGGTACTTTTCTATGTGCATACTTGTCTTTGATACACAGGAAGTTCTATCGATTTATGTTTTTCCTCTCTATGATTTAGATGTGTCCTGTTGATGCTTTATTCCTATATACATGTGTGCAACGTTCTTCTAAGCAAGTAAAACTTAATTCAGCATCCCTCAAGGCCTCAGTGCTTCTTCTAAACACATAACCAACATACTATAACTTTCAAAGTCTTTTCTTATATATCCGTTCAATAAGTGCGAACAAATACATGTTGATTCTGCTACAAATCCAGTGCTGTACACTGTCTTGTGCACTGTCTTGTTCATTTCTACCAACTTCAGTAAACCTCCCTTCTGTTATGGCAATGATGATAGGGAAAGGTGCTGTGTGGTCCTAACACACTTCATGCCCTAGGATGACAACATTACTCCTCAATAAATACAGTACAATTAGTAAATGTTGTCACCTTAGGACAGGAAGTTTGTTACAGGTTACCAGGTGAAAATAAAAGAAAAGAAGGCTGCATGCAGTCGCCACATCTAATGACTGGTAATCTGCAATATATATTTCATTTTTTGGTTTGAATACACTTTAAGCCATTTGCTGCATTGTTTCAGTAAGAGTTTATGACTCTTGAGAGGCAAACCATGCAATAGTAGATTAGCAAAGAATGGCGACTGATTTCAAACATGGGTTAAGGTCAGCAGAGATGAACCTTTTGGGTCCACTCTGGCTTCTGGGTGAAGTCCTCCTGACTCCTGGACACAACCTGTCCCTCTTCCCAGCAGGAGCCCTCATGTGCCTGCAGCCCACACCACACCAACTCCTCTCTTGAGCTCTGGTCTGGGCTCTTAATGAGGCTGCAAAACAATACCGGCGCCTTCAAATCCAAAAAGAGCCCAGCAGTAAAAATACAGCAAACACGGTGGAGGCAGCTCCCACAGATTAGATGGAACACCAGTCTATGAGAAAAAGAACAAAAGAGAGCGCCTCCATAGTGTAAAAATGTTATTTAATAGTAAAAACACGCAGCTCTTATGCTGTACTTACAACAGTTCGGTAGAATAAAAACCAGTAGAATAGGGTGAGAGGACGGAACCCCTGGCAGGGAGAATCTGGAGCGATGTAAAACACCAGTAACCTCGATCCCTGTATTGATAAATGGTTAACGCGTTTCTGGGGCACGCCCCCTGGGTTCTGATGAAGGGGGCGTGCCCCAGAAACGTGTTAACCATTTATCAATACAGGGATCGAGGTTACTGGTGTTTTACATCGCTCCAGATTCTCCCTGCCAGGGGTTCCGTCCTCTCACCCTATTCTACTGGTTTTTATTCTACCGAACTGTTGTAAGTACAGCATAAGAGCTGCGTGTTTTTACTATTAAATAACATTTTTACACTATGGAGGCGCTCTCTTTTGTTCTTTTTCTTAATGAGGCTGCTCTAAGCCACCTGATCCCTGGCAACACCTGACCTTAGGACTGGAGATTTCATCCCACCCAGAACTCTAAGAAATCTCCAGAGATCCAGATCCCAGCTACAATCCAGAAAAACCAGAGGAAACTGACAGGCCAGCTTCTTCCCTGAAAAACTATTTTCCTTCTGGAACCTCTCAGCCCCTCTGGCTGAGAGTCCTGGGTGGCTGTGTTGCCAGCATACTCCATGGCATTGCCACGCACTGCCACATTATGCATCATGGGTTTTTTTTCTTCTTCATGTACTGTTTTTACTATCAGGAATGGGATCCACTCCATTATTGATATAATATTGATATAATTCCCCAGTGCACAGCTATGCATCAATGCTGTCAAAGGCAAATGTGCAAAATGATAATAATGAGCAGTCGATTTTCAGTAATGCAGTCACATGCTAGCTAGCATATATGTCAATATAACTGCAACAGTCTTATATACTCATCTGATATATCATGAGTAGCCAGCTTCTAAGAAAATGCGAATTGGTATTGAAGTAGTTTAGGTATAGCAAACACACCAAGATCATGACATAAACAACATCTAAGTACATGAATACTGTAAATACTGCAAGGCAGTCTAAACCGGATGTCATGTGTGTATCTGGAGCATTAACAGTAATGCAGAAGGGCCCATTCACAGTAGGGCACTGCGGTATTGCACATATTACTGCAGCGCATGATACCATGCTGTTACATGCGTTGGTGCAATGTGGTGCCAATCACTCTGAATGGTATTCCAACGCACCTTGCCAATGGGTATGTGTTGAGGCACAGTGCAACATACCGTAAGGCACTAACGTAACTATGTGTTGCACTGCTAAAAATGACCTTTTTTGAAATAAATGAGCTGCCTAAATGCAAGGCTCACTAACACAGGGCGTAACACATGATAATGTGCAAGCATTAACACAGCACAGTAGTGTGAATGGGCCCTTCAGGCTAGGTTCAGATCTGAGCGGTCCCGGGACCACATGATTGTGTTTGGGTGCACATATTGATTGCTGCGCTGCCCCATTGATTTCAATGGGGTTACATCCGCGCTGCAATCGCTAAAAAATGGTACATGTACCTTTTTTTGTGACACACAACGCGCGGTTTTGTGCACGACTGGGGTGCCATTGGAAAATAATGGCACTGCCACCGCGATCGGCTGTGGTGGGCAACTCGGCAATCCATGTGGTTTTGTGCACGATTGCCGCACGGTCAGGAATTGCCCAGATGTGAACCTGGCCTAAAGGTTTAGTAAACTATATATGATATGCACAAAATTGTACCTATATTTTTATTTCCAGTATTTATACCTCACCTATATATTGTGCATCACTTTACAGATTATACAGATACATTCACATCATCCTCTAGCCTCCAGAGGAGCCTATCATCCAATATCCATAATATGCTGCCTGCATACCATTGGGGTAATTTCCCTTTACTTCCTGTCCCAGAGGAAATCTACCTAAGTGAGAGGAATTTCCCTCTTAGACAGCTGTTTCTAAAACATTTGCCCCCACTGGAAGATTTCCCCTCGCCTCTCTCCTGTGCACAAATTTTTGATCCCCGCCCCCCCTCCTACTTTCTTTCTTGCCAACAATGGTCACCAGTACAAATGAAGGGGTGAATCTACCCAGTGGAGGCAATACAATATGACGGATGGTCTAACACAGGGGTAGCAAACCTCAGGCCCTCCAGCTGTGGTGGAACTACAAATCTCATGAGGCATTGCAAGATTCTCACAGCCACAGACATGACTCCCGAAGAGAGATGCATCATGGGATTTGTAGTTTCACCACAGCTGGAGGGCCGGAGGTTTGCTACCCCTGGTTTAACCCTTGTCTATTCTATCCAAAACTACAAAAACATTTGCCTAGAGATATACTTTGAGCAGGCTTTGCCAACACCCAGGAACATCAAGTGAACTACAGTCCACAGCATTTGTGTATGAGCCATGAAGATTATTTCACAAAGTTACTTTTTGTAATTATATTCATTGTTTTGCAAGGAATGGGAAAGGGTTGGAACCTCTGTCAAGGGTATTACTACTTTCTGCGTGTTTCAGAGATTCTTCTTCTCTTCCAACTATCATTATTAACCAAAAGTGAGGCATCCCACCAGAACAGGAATAATCTCACAAGAGGGACACCTGTTCTGGCGATAGCACCCGAATGAGGACTCAAGAAACAGTGTAATTTATAGGAGGTTATTATCCATCTCCACTCTAAGAGAAACACCAAAACATTTTGTTTGGTGGTTCACTTTAATTATGATGGTGAGTTAAATAAGGTAATTGTACGCAGTGAATACATTGTATCTCTCACTTAGTAATGCAAGTCTCCGAGGAGCTGCTTTCTCTGACTATACTTTTTGTTTTTGTTTGCATCCAGATGGATATACAAAACCATCTGGCTCTGAGAAACCGAGTAAATTCCACATATCTGAAGATGAACTTATCAGTGCCATGAAAGCAAAAGATGCAACAAAAGGCTTTTCTTATGAAATGACTGAAGAACAGAAAGCTCCTAGTCTTTACTCTGAAAAAAAGGATCATAAGAGCATGCCAGGGCTACCAGCTGTCCCCACTTCAGCAGATAATGAGGCTTCGAGCGTGGAATCTGGTGACTCTGAAATAGAGCTTGTTTCTGAAGATCAGCTGGCAGGAGAAGAGGGCATGCAATCTGCTTACATGACGTTCAGTCACATTGGTGGCCCACCACCATCACCTGCCTCCCCATCCATACAATACAGTATACTGAGGGAGGAACGTGAAGCTGAACTGGACAGTGAGCTCATTATTGAGTCATGTGATGGATCCTCTGCTTCTGAAGAAAGCCCAAAGAGAGACCAAGACTCCCCTTTGACAAGACCAATGATGGACATTATTGAAGAAGAAAATGGTTCAAGAACGGAAAGTTTTGATGCCTCAGACTTCGACTCTTGTAGCTCTACAGAGAGGAAGCTCAACATGGAGAATCTGGCAGAGTCAGCTGCTTATATAAAGGGCTCTTATACTGCCGAAGGACGCACAGATCTGCTTATGATAAAGAAAGATGAAACCTTACACCAGGGAAAAGGTACTGAAGCAACAATGTGCCCAAGTAGAGCTTCCGGGAGGCTGCTCACAGAGACCGGATCCTCAGCGACATTGCTAAGCAGAGAGAAAGGTAATCACATTTATATAAACAGTTTCTGAGCAACTCTAGAGTGAGCAGTGGAGATTTTTAGATGTTGCATTTGGCAACCAATCAGAATCAAACTGTTATATTTATATTTATATTACAAGGTTGGAAAATAGATTGGCTGCCACAGACAACTCTCTTTTTTTATTTTTATGTATATATTACATGATCGTAGTTACATTTCTCTCAATAGACATTGACAACAGTCAGTATTTTTGACTGGAGGCTATATTGGAGGATGTATAAGAGGTTCCAGACCATGATGCCCACTCATATCAATCTGTCTTGATTGGGATTGCCCGCAAACATGCATTGTGTCTATGTGGCTCCCCCTTCCCTTGTGCAAGTTACTGCAGACATGCAAAAAGTAACGAAGCCTGGCATCCCTTGCATCCTAAGAGATGTTTATCGCTGTTTTAGCCACTAGAGGGTGCTGTGTATAAAGCCGTTATATTGTATGTTCTGCAGCACTAATAGGAAAAATGTAAATGCTCAAGATGGTGGGATGCTACAAGTCACATACTCCAATTCCTTCATCCCCCTAGAGAGATGACTCTACTAAAGACTAAAATATTCCGAAAGACTTATGTTCACCATTATGTATGTAAATGTTTCTAAATGTGAATATTGCCAAATTGTACAAAAGTATTTAAAGGAGAACTATGGGGTTAGGGCGTTTTCCCCCATAGTTCTCCTTAGGGTAACGGGAGGACACAAACTAGCGTCCTCCCGTCACCCTAAGCTCAGTATACCGCGAGCTACAGGTTGCGGTATACTGAGACGTCGCAGCTGAAGCGGATCCCGACAATTATGTCTGGATCCACCCAGCTGCATGAGTGACAGCTGGCTCTGCCTATCTAGAGGTAGAGCCAGCTGTACCCGCCCCCTCCCCAGTCAGCGCTGTCACGGCAGAGAGCCGTGACAGGATCAAGCAGTGAGCGAACTCCGGTATGTGTTCGCTCACTTCCCAATCTACTTAGCCGACCTGTGACAGTCTCATTGTCACAGGTCGGCTAGAACTATGAGGTGAGTGAAAAGCACTCACCTCATAGTTCTCCTTTAACACTTTCTGGCTTTGCTATGCATTTCATTTTTCCATATAAGCTGCCATTGTATTCATAAGAAGGGACCCAAAATGGGAGTCTGCTCTATCAGTGAACAAGGTGTCAGCTATTTGATGCAATATACATTTCTGATGTCACTATGCTACCTCAAATTCAAACAATTTCTGATCATCTCTTGAAACATTTACACATCTATACAGTATACATGAATATCTTTTACACCGGTTTATAAACACATGCTATTGTTTAGGCACAGTCACCCCTTTAAGCCATAGTTGTGTAAGTCAAGAAAGAATGTACAACATAAAACAGTTGTAGAACACAATGCAACAGTCACTCAGAGACCACAGTAGTAATCCACATAACACTGGTACCGATCATATCCTGAAACAGGGATGACCAATATGAAGGGTAATAGGAGATGAACATCCTCTCAAGGTAGGTACCTCAGTTGGGTAAGAAAAATAGTTTTCATAGCAGTTCATCAATTTCATTTTCTTTTTTTCTGTGTTATACTACTTACATATTACTTATAATATCATTATTGTTAGCCCTGATGAAGAGACATGTAGGTTCTGGCAACATGTTGACTTTCCATATTTTGAATAAGATGCCATCAACTTTTATGTACATAAGAGTATGCTTTTGTTGTCTTTTTCTTGGACTGTTGGTGCTGCTGCTCCACAAGGGGTAATGCATTCATACTCTTTTTTTTATTCTTTCTGAGCCCTAAACAAGGTCAACGACTGCCTATTCTAGTATTTTCAGACTGTTTCCAGAAATCTAATCTCCAGGTAACCATCCCCCAACATTACCCATCGAGAGCCATCACCAGCTAATTACCCAATTAAAGTCAAAAACCCTAAACAAAAAGCTGCAATTTCTTGCCTTAATTCAAAATGTCAACAGGATGCAGATAATGTCAAAAATCTGGCAGAGATTGTAACCTCTTCCTGCTGTATCTAAAGTTAGCTTTGGAGTTAGACTTTAGTTGATGTAAATTAGGTAAAAGCATGGTGGACCAAATTTAACGATAACTTTGACCTCTGCCTATTTTACCCAAGCTTTCTGAGGTGAAACCAGCCTGGCAAAGAACAAAAAACTGCAACAGTACATTATTTGTAGAGTAAGACAAGCTTTAATATTTGGTCTGCATTTAACGATGGAACCAGAGCAAAGTTATTGGTTTATACATAAATGGAGGAAACAAATCAATATTTTATAGACATTTATTCTGTTTTCACATGCATTAGAACAAACTTAATTGGGTGGCTTTGTAGCAGCCTGTGTGATATCTGGATCGTTGGCAATTCTGTCTTAATCATTATTTATTGTTTCTTAAAAAAACTGTGTGTATAGTTTCACTTTCCCTGTTCTATTCCCAATAATGTAATATAAATGGAAACTCCAACAGGGATCTTTTGTATCTTAGAATAAAAGAAACTGTTAACAGGTCGCCATCTCTATTCCTCACTCAGACTTCCCACACAGTCCTCTCCTACTATCTCTAAGAACCACAACATGATGTCATTCTCAAAAGGCAATTAACTTGCATGAAGAGAACACAACTTAACCAGTTGACATCCGCGGTGTTAAACCCCCTTCCCATTCAGGCCAATAATAATACATTTTCTTCTATTACACATTGATTGCAAAATTGCGTGCCATCATCTGTATTCATTTCGACTGGCAATCCTCACCTTACATACACTTTCCAGAGTTATGATGACCATTTCAATGTAAAGAAACCCAGAGGGGGAGGCAGACTGGGCTCCAGTGACTGTGTTGTATTTTACTGCTCTTGTATTGTCGCCATTGTCTGTCTGTTACCTATGCATTACCACCAGCGTGTGTTGCCCATTTACTACCATCATTGCCTGTTTATTGTGTGTATTACCAGTATGTTGCCCACATTTGTTGTCCATGTATCGTCACCATAGCTTTGGTGTTTGCCTAAAATGTGAATTGATCCTCATCTACAGTAAGTCACAACAATAGACAAACACAATAGGGGGGAATTTTCAAAACTGGAGCAAACAGAATCTGGAGCAGTTGCCCATGGCAACCAATCAGCTTCTCTCTTCAGTTTGCTCAGGTAATCTGCTTCACATTTTGTCTGCTCCGGTTTTGATAAATTCCACCAAATGTGCTTAAGTCGATAACACACAAACAATTCTAATTTCTCGTGTCTTTATTGAGCACACCCATTAAACATTCCCAGTGCAGGGGGCGTGGCCAGGATGTGAAGCAGCGCGGACGTGTCTGGAGGAGCTCCGTCGCTGCACTAACGAAATCCGCTCGATATCCTGTCAGTTCAGCCCTATTTATACTCACCTGAACTCCGGTGGGTGTCTGGTGCAGGGTGACATGACCGCCAGGTCCGGCAAACGTACCGACACTCCGAAACGAGGCAAAAAGGCAAAGGGAGCGGCCCCACGCTTGTCCGGCGCCATCTTGTCCCCATCTCCTGTTTCCTGCAAGTGACATTCCCAGTGCAGGAGGAAAAAGTAAGTGAACCCTTGGAGTTAATAGCTGGTCAAATCTCCTTTTGGCAGCAATAACTTCAAGCAGGCTCTTTCGGTAGCCCTGGATCAGACCTTAACATCATTCAGGGGGAATTTTTGACCATACCTCTTCACAAAACTGCTTCAGCTCAGGATGCCTGTTCTGAACAGCTCTCTTGAGGTCATTCCACGTCCTCTCTATGAGGTTAAAGTCTTGGTTCTGACTGGGCCACGCATTTTATTTTTCTGAAGCCAGTCTGTGGTGGATTTCCTTTGATGCTTAGGGTCATTGTCCTACTGCATCACCCAACTTCTACTAAGCTTCAGCTGGCAGACAGCCACCCTGACAATATACTGAAGGATATTTTGGTAAACGCAGCAATTCATTTTCCCCTCGATGATGGCAAGTGGTGCAGGGCCTGAGGCAGCAAAGCAAGCCCAAATCATTATGTTCTCTCAACCATACTTCGCCGTTGGGGTGATGTTTTGATGTTGGTAATCAGTGCCCTTTTTTTTTTTGGAGAGCAGCAGCTTCCCCTGTGGTGTTCTGCCATGGACACCCTACCTGTTCAAAGACTTATGAATGATAGAGTCATGACCAGTGATGTTTGCCAGTTCCAGTGATGTCTTGAAACCTTTTTTTGTTACTCATGGGTTCTTCTTTACCTTATTGAGGATCTTGCTTGTGCCTTTGGAGTCTTCTTGGCTGGGCTCCCACTTCTAGTAAGAGTAGCCAGAGTACTAAACTGTCTCCATTCTAGACAATTTGCCTGTCGACTGATGGATGCCTAAACACTTTGAGATTGCTTTGTATCCCTTTCCAGCATCACGCAGATCAACTACTCTTGATCGTATGTCTTCAGAAAGCTCCTTTTTGCCAGCCATGGTTCACATCAGTTGATACTTCTTATGAACAGCAATTTTAAAATGTTTGAGTGCCTTTTATCAATCAAAGCACCTCTAAACCATACCTTTTGAGCTCATTTATTGTATTCTAAGTGTGCAAGCTACTGACTCTAATTAGCTTTTGTTGAAATAATTAGTCTGTGGGTTCACTGACTTTTTCATCCAGCACTGTGAAAAAATAATGGGTGTGTTCAGACATGAGAAATTATAATGTTTGTGTGTTATTTGCTTTAGCACATTGTGTTTGTCTATTATTGTGCCCTAGACGAGGATCAGATCACATTTTATGGCAAATTACTGCAGAAAACCAGTTTATTCCAATGGGGTTCGTATACTTTTTCTTGCCACTGTATGTGGGATAGTATTGGCATCCAGAGCTCAGCAGGAGAGTAGAGTGTATATAAACTGGCCACCAGACAGGTAAGCATAAAACTGCCACTTTCAAAGGCTTATGCTCCTTAAAATTTGCCCCCTCCTGACAGGGTCACATAATTGATCACTTGGGTATATTGTTAGTTACCTAAGAACTCCTAGAAATATAAGGAACTAGAAACTAGTTCTGTTCCCTGATGTATACCCAAATCTGAAACATCAGTTTTCGCCAGGCTCATCTTCTAGGCCATATAGACATACATAAGATATTGGATATACAGTATACAGGACATATTATGTGTGTGAACTCTGTACCAGGACGCTGTGGCTTTTTAATTACTCTTCCATCTTCCACTTGCAATCACCTATCAGCCCTAAAGCCATTGTTGCATACCTCTGAGCCAAAGCTGTTGATTGTCCCCATTTTAGATGTCTAGTTAAATATTTGTTTTCCTACTTTTCTATAAGGATGATGAGCAGTAAAAGGCATTCAGTGTTTCTAAATTAATTATTACATCCACTCTCAGTGCAGTATATAGACGAACTGCACTAGGCCTGGATACTGTTAATTGGCTAATAAATCTTTATGGCACAATTTTATGCTGACCCATAGAATTAAAGTGTATTCTGCTACTGTTTTGCTGTGTTCTATGTCTCAGTCATTAATATATATTACTGCATTGCGTGTTTTTTTTTGTCATGCATTTTGTTCACCTTTTAGAGGAAAGTATTGTACACAATTGTGTAAATGTTTATTGGAAAATGTATGATACACAGCACTGATTAGTGTAAGTTGTTTGTTTTGTTTTCTTGTTTAGTTTTCTTGCCATATTGTTTAAAGGAGAACTATGAGGTAAGTGTTTTTTTCCCCATAATTCTCCTCAGGGTCACGTGAGGACATAAACTAGTATCCTCCCGAGACCCAAAGCTCAGTAGCTCGCGGTATACTGAGACTGCCGCAGCCAGGGCAGATCCCGACATTTCTGTCTAGATCCACCCAGCTGCGCTATTAACAGCTGGCTCTGGCTATCTAGAGGCGGAGCCAGATGTACCCGCCCCCTCCCCCGTTCGTTCCTCCAGCCAGCGCTGGAGGATCGGAACGGGAGGGGGAATCCCTGCAGGGAGCCGTGAGGGGGGAATCTCTGCAGGGACAGGATCGAGAAGTGAGCGAGCGACGGTATGTGTTCGCTCACTTCCCGATCTATTGAGCCGACCTGTGACAATTTCATTGTCACACGTCGGCTCGAACGATGAGGTTGAGTGAAAATCACTCACCTCATAGTTCTCCTTTAACCTTAATTTGTTTTGGTGAGCAATGGCCTTCGTGCTTGAAACTACAGCTCGTAAGGCTGATAAGTGACATGAAGGAAGTTTTTTTCCTTCGTTCCTTACCCTAGGTCAGTTATAGCAGTACTGGAGGTTATTGGCACAACTGAAATACTTGGCCCTGGCCCTGTGTTACAAGACTCCTTCCTTTTTTTTTTTACTAAGGTGTCATGGCAGATGCACAATGGTATTCTGACATCTGGGGTAAGTAAATGAACTTGCAGCAGAGCTTCCTCTAATCAAGTGGACAGAAAAGGACGTGAGCTTAATTTGCTTGGTGTATTTATCTACCATGTGTTTGTTGGGTACCATGGTGACCACAACGCACTGATTTGGATGTTGGATGTTGTCCAACATTTTCTGCATACTTATAATTTTTGTTGTTGTAAAGAGTACAAATGAAATGGTATCTGATAAATCGCTTTTCATTTTACATATGAGGGAATTTTGCCTTTTGCCTAGGGCACTCCTCTATTGGAAAAGGTGGCATCAAAGACTCCCAATGAAACACATTACATTGTGAGAGATGAGTTCCAGTTCTGTAGACTTCAGCCCATCATCAGATTCTCTTGTCTTAGCCAGAATTCCAAATTCCATTAGATGACACAAGATAAACTTTAATACATGCATACCTGCAGCAGCCCCCAAGTCCCTGCCACAGAACCCAAATGCCAACCTGTTCTGATGGGCAAAGCTCTGGCACTTTCTGGCTTGTTGAAATTTACTCACCTCTTCTTGCCTCTGGTAAATTCCTATTGGCCAGTTAGGCTACCCATCATAGTGATAGGCCAGTAGGAATGTGTGTGAGGTGGGAGGTAGCCAGCACATTTTACACTACCAAGAAGTGTTGGAATTTTGCATGGCCTAATGCTTCAATATTTGGGCAAACTGGTGAGGAAGAATATAGTTAGGTATCTGCACTTTATACCTTGTTTGTTTTAGTATAGTGAAAGATATGTTTTTTATGGCCAAACTCCAGCCATTTATTTAGGTATGAAAAGACTGGGTAAAAATTAAAGTGTATGTAAACCAAAAGCAAAAATTTAAAATTTTGCAGCTTACCAGTCTTTTGATGTGGTGGCTGCATTTTTTTCAGGCACTTTTTCCTTTATTTACACGCCATCCTCCTTATACTAAAAATGTGTTTTTGTCTGAGTCTTTGTTGAATGGAATGGAAATGGATCGGTTCCTACACTGGCAGTTGGTGAAGGTTAAAGAGGAACTCCCCCCCCCCCCCCCCACTTTTTT